GTTTCAAACTTTCTTCTCGCCTTCTTCTTTTCCTTGATCTTAAAGGAATAGTCCAGAGGGTAGTAGAATGTGTTTTTTTTTTACTTTATTTGCAAAATAAATAATCTAAATAAACATCCTAAGGCATCATTTTGTAAATTCATTCACAACACTAGACTTTATAGCCCTTTTTATCTAGCATTTTTGCTCCTGAAATCCGTCTGCTACAAAATGTTGCCGGTGGCGCCTCCATACGGGTGTGACGTAGTACCATGGCGCCTCCATACGGGTGTGACGTAGTACCATGTGTATGGATCAGGAGATCAGCCATTATTGTGCATTTATTGTGACAAATTTCAATGTCTGGTGACAATTTTAGCCCGCAGGGAACTACCAAACGACATAGGAAAGATGGAGGCACTCGAGAATTGGATGCGCATAAAGTTAACCCATTCGCGCCGGGTAAAAATGTACAAAAAAAAGGGGAAAATGCTGTGCTCATTTTTTATATTTTTTAATGAAATTTCTCTACACTAGATGGCTCTGCCTTACCTGATTTCACCTTTACTTGAATTGGCGGGAAAATGTATTTTTACTATGAATATCGATGGTTATTTTTATTATAAACATTATAATTACTATAATGGTATAAACATTAGTAACAGCAAAATAAGATAACGCAAAATAATTTCGTAAATTAAAGAAAAGGGTTAACAGGCGAGACAAGCAGTACAAATACAAGTGGAGCCATCTATGTGTGAAAATAACTAAACATCGTGAATGGGTAAATGAAGGAGGAAGACGAGTCGTCAGATTCGGCCTATAACATGGCTCAAATTGGTATCCTTTCACCAATTCTCTTCCTACTTCCAGCTCCGTATCTTCTAGTTCATCACCAGTAAGATCTATTGATTCTGTAGACACAGAATCAATAGATCTTTCACTTTCAACTTCACTGGAACTGCTGTAATCCTTGTTGCTCGCCATGTTGTTGGACAATGGCTATACATGGTATGACGTCACGCGACGTGGTGGCGCCACTGGTCGTTTTTGAGGCAGACAAATTTTGTGGGCTTACAAAATCATGTTTATTTTTATTATCCGGGTCTAAATTTTCAATTTGATTTTATTAATGGATAAATATTAACATAGTCCAACTGTGGATGCAAAATAGTGCACCAGTTCTAGGCTATTCCTTTAACTTGAACTTCCTCACTCCACCACCATGTATCTTTTCCTTGAGGCATTCCTTTCCCAGATATTTTCCCTTGCACCTCCTCTGCCACACTCCTAATGACCTTACTATTCTCTTCCCACCACTCATTTGTGTCCTCCTTAAATGTTACTTCTCTCATTACTTTCTCCTTAAACTCCTTAAAAAACCCTGAGATGTTCTTTTAGTTTCCACCACTTAATCTTTGGTGTGCTTAGCTGTTTCCCCCTCTTCGCGCTCTTCACTTCCAATCTAAAACTACAATTCGATGTTGGGCCGAAACACTTTCTCCTTTGATCACTTTACAATTTTTCATCTCACCAAGATGGTTCCTTCTACACCCGAGGAAGTCAATCTGACTCTCTCTTCCCCCACTTTGTAAGTGACATATTGGTGGGCACCCTTCTAGAAGAAAGTGTTCGCTATGGCCATATCATTTGCTAATGTAAAATCTATGACCCTTTCTCCTTCATTTACCTCACCCATTCCCCATCCTCCATGTACCCTGTGCAGGACTCCTCTCTCAGGGCCTAAATGACCGTTTAGGTCTCCTCCTAAGAACACCCTCTCTTCCTGCGGTATCGTCTGTAGTTCCACATCCAGTTGTTGCCAAAACGTCTTTTTCTTCAGTACTACATCCTACTTGTGGTGCATAGGCACGGATGACATTTAGCTTTAGCTTTTCCTACCGCAAGCTTGACATTCATTATCCTGTCGCTTTTCCTTCCAACGTGGACTAGATTTTCGCTCCACTTTTTGTCCAAGATAATCCCAACTCCATTTCTCCCTTGGTTGTTGGCTCCGCTGTAAATGAGCTTACAACCCTCTCCTATCTCCCTCGATTTATTTCCCTTCCACCGGGTTTCCTGCACACACAGCACACCTATTTTTCTCCTCTCCATCACGTCTGCCAACTCTCTACTCCTTCCTGTCAGACTTCCCACGTTCAGCGTTCCAACTCTAATCTTCTGAACTGGCTTCTTTAACCGCGCTCGTTCTTGACGTGGTAGCCCTTGCTCACTTATCACAGGAGTCAGGCGGGGCTCCTGCGCATCGCTTATGGGGTACGCCCCAGCAGGTTCCGAGGCGCTTTCTTGTCGGCTTTCCATTTTGGGGTTTTGGCAGAGTTTTACAGCCGGATGCCCTTCCTGCCGCTAACCCTCCCCATTCATCCGGGCTTGGGACCGGCACTGAGTTGAGCTCTATAAATATATATATACATACATATATATACGTATACACACACACACACACATATGTATATATAAACATATACATATACATAGATGTGTGTCTATATACATATAT